GCCATACAGGCTGTCATTGTGTGTCCGAACTGTTGGCACTTGAAACACTGGATGATCCTAGGTCTGTGCTCTTTGGTTGGTTCTGCTTGGTGGTGGGTGAAGAATAGATGATTCCTGTCATGATGGTTTCCTCAGCTTTCTTGTAGATTCTGTTCTCGATCTTCTTCACAAGGGTGCGGTACAATATGTGTTGCCTGTTCGTCCGAATATTTTGGGGTTTCCTATTCTTCCCTTTATTACACTGGAATCCCTCTATTTTCAGTGATCTTTTTCCTGTTACCCTTACTGGATGGGTTTGGCAACTCATCCATCTAGCTTATTCCGACTTGTCGATGAAAGATCATCAGCTGTTTAATGTGTCTTAGGGGTTTCCTATTCTTCCCTTTATTACACTGGAATCCCTCTATTTTCAGTGATCTTTTTCCTGTTACCCTTACTGGATGGGTTTGGCAACTCATCCATCTAGCTTATTCCGACTTGTCGATGAAAGATCATCAGCTGTTTAATGTGTCTTCGCACCAGATATGCTCAGATCTGCTTTGGAGGAGATTGTACAAGTGGGAATGTGGACAACTCCCAATACGTTCATTGCACATTTTTTGCGTAACATCACTGTATCCTCCTCGGTCAGGTATCCTTTTTCACCTGTCGTGATTCTCCACACATCTGTTTGCCTTTAACTGGGGTAAGATGACATTTAAGTTTCACTTATGCATCAGTTTTTTTTTTTACCATTTCAGAAATAGTTGTTTTTCCTTTGCATATCTCAAACCCACCAGGTGGGGGTGTTGCCTGGTCAGGTATGCTGAATCCTTTTATACTAGCGTTACTCTACTTCTTTCTAATGCTCACTGTGGAGATGGGGTGTTTGTGTAAGACCACCAGATGCTTTTTCAGTGGTTTATATATATATCTATCCTGAGGACCATCACTCATGGACTTCCTGAGTAAAGCAGATAGGGATTTTTGCCCATCCCCACTGCCCCTTGATTCTTACAATCCAGGTCTTTCTGCTTTTCAAAATAGGGAAATGCAAACACACATTGCATTGTCTCTGGTGAGTTGTTCCTCTGGACCCCTCAATGCATCTCCCCCCTCTTTCTTCTAGTGGAGTACAGGTGTTCTTGCCACTTCCGGTTCCCAGTCGCTGGATTGGCCAACAGTGTAGATTTCCTCACAAGTGGTTTTGTACAATAACAAAATCTCATAGCTATATGTACTCACTTGATGATTAGAGGGCTGTCATCATTATGCTGCATATTATACACACACATTATGGCAATATGTCTATTATGCAAGGCACTTCCACTGGATGTTTTCTGCCCAGATGGACCTCACTTGACATAACCCATTGTATACCAATGGGCTTTACCCAGATGTTTTTGCCTAGGTGTACTTCACTTGGCTATCTTGTTCTAAATCCAAGATGCTTCCCCTGAATGTTTTTGCACAGTTAGACCACACTTGTTGATTTTAAAAATTTATGCAAGGAGCTTCCATGTTGTTTGTGTCCTTGGACCACACTTGGCATAATGCGTCATATCCCAAGGTGCTTCTCTTGGATGTTTTCTGCCCCAGCAGGCCATAGTTGCTCTATTCATATATGGTCCTCTAGCTCTAGCCGTGTATTCTCCTCATTTCCACCCTACGTGTCTTATATCCTTTACTGGGGGAAGAACATACCTGTTCCAGAAGTAGTGCTATACCCCACAGGTGTGCCTTTTATTTCAATAGTGGCATACCTGCTTTTTTTTTTCATGGTAGTCACTCTCTGCTTGATTATTTGTTTTTGTGCCTTCACTGGCCCCTCCACCTTTCCAATGTAGGGTTCTAGCTGTAGTACCGTTTCGGAAGTTAACATTTTTTAACACTGAAAATGTAGTTCTGATAGGTACTTACCTCCATTCACCCACTTCCCACCCTTCCTCCCTAGTGATTTGCTGGTGTTTTGGGGTATATATATGCCAATTCTCAAAAGTAAGGATTGTGCGCTAGTATAGAGGGCACAGTGGGATTGGTAGAGGGTGGTCACATGTTGCTGCATCAGCATGTCACATCAGCACATGTTACTGCAATGAAGCAAAAAATATAGGGGTATAAAAGACTGGTGTGCTGTTCATAAGATTTACCAATGCCTAGAAGGCAAATGAAGGTCGAGATAGCAGAGGTAAGTACCTATTGGAAATACATTTTCAGTGTTAGAAAATGTTAACCTCTGTCCACATATAGCTTTCTTTAAGTTTATTATGTAAGTTAAGTAGACACATGACTAGCAGTTTTGGCATATATTTGCACTGTTTTTGATTTTACCCTCCTGAGGATGATATTTTATGTCAAAACATGTAGAATGTTTTGAGACAGTCGATGGTCTCAGAATAAAGTTTTTGAATTTTGTACTTATAAACATTGATATTTTGACTGGTTTAATTATTTATTTACTCAAGTACCTTGAATTGTAGCATTTTAGTATTAATTTTTTATGTTTTCTGATTTTTTGACATACATAATCTGATTAGGATTATGTGTTCAAATCAGCCCTGGGTGTTACTTTCTGTTCTAAGTCCAATAACGAAAACTATCTGTGTTTCATGAGATAGCTGTGTAGAAATTGTTCTTCATTACCTTTTGTATGTGAGACTGCTTTGTGAATATCATATATAGAAAATATTTTTTTGGATACTTGTGTTCCAGTTTTCTGAATTGTAAATATAGTTTTGACATTTTCAAGAGATTTGTTTCTGATTTGAAAAGGTTAAGACTTCAGGTGTAAGTCTCATTGTTGTTTCCCATATCATTAAGTTTGCAGATCTTTCAGTTGCTGATAAAACATTTTCCATCATACACTCGATATAGATAATTCAAGAAAACAATAAACACAAGCAGTTGATGAACAACGAGTATTAACCCAACCCTCTATCTATGGGTGTGTCAAAGTGTGCATCTTATGATTTTTTTACAGTTTTATTCAAAACTTAAACAACTTTATTACATTTATATGTCAGTAAACTTGGCATCAAATCATAGTTTTATAATTCAAATTTTAACTTTGAATTTCTTATTTCCCAAAGGAAATATTTCAATAAATTCTCAATTTTCACTTCACTAGTCCACTCTGAATTGTCCTTTTAGATTTTCGTACTACCCATATATCATCTTCTGAGTTTGGCACAAATTCCACACTTATAGCATAGAAATGAATAAAAACCCTACAACCCGAGTGCTTTCGAAAGGAAGACCTATGAAATTTCGAGCAGACTAAGGACTCACCCTACCTCTTTGAAATATTGGTTCAAAAGAAAGAAATGGCACCAAGACTGTTAAAATGGCTGAGAGAGCCACTAAGGGGGCATTCTGAGCTTCCGATTGGTTATTCATGTCATATGTAGAAGTAAGT